GGCAAAAGTGAGTAAGTGCTGGATTAGTAGAAAGGCAATGAGAAGTGCCTTGGAAGAAAGGCCTGGCAATTCATGGTGTCTAATTTAAACATGCACATATAAACCCAGTTGTCTTGGACTAGTTCTGACTCCTGAGGACCCGTGTGTATGAGCAGAACTGTGTTCCACAGGCCTTCCAACGGCTGATTTATTGGAAACATCTGGACACATGATTCTTTTGAGGTTCCCCTGGGTAGAGTTGAAGCCTTAAACTTTGAGTTAGCAGCCAAATATGTTAAGCACTCGAACAACCGAGAAACTCCCAAAATGCATGCAAAATAAAAAACAACCAACACCCACATTTTCTCTCTGATAGCTGTGTCCCTAGTGAGCCTGGAAGCACCACAAGACAACGCAGAACTGCCGTAACACAAACTGGGCACAGGAAGGAGCAGGGCTGTGAGTGCTGAGGCCCGCCGTGCACAGGGGCTGTGCTGGGTCCTGTGTGTGTCATAAGCTAAAGTCAAGTTAAGCAACTTGCACCAAACCCCACGGCTGGCAGATCAGAGAATGGAATCCTACACCCAGCCTGCGAGGCCCAGAGCCGCACCAGGGCCCAGCGCACTCCCCTACGTGCACCTGCATCTGTCCCCCAGGATGCTCTGGACACGGAGCCCTGGGCTGGGGGAGGACACCTTTCTGGAGGAGAGAATCTGGAGAGGCTTTGAGGCCCTCCAGGAGGTGAGAGGCGTGGGGCCTCTCAGAAGCCAGCCCAAAGTGGACTCCAGCAGGGAAGCAGGGAGGAGCCTGGATCAAAGCATGTGATATGCTTTGGAGCAGCAAATGAAGCTGCAGCAGGTGTACCAGGGCCCCTGGGAGGCAGGGCGAGCAATGGGGCAAGCAACGGGGTGTCCACAGGCTGGAGGCCTTTTGCAGACAGCTCAGAGAGAAATCTGATAAGGAATTTCCTTTCTGATAAGACCCGGCCCCATCCTGAGAGCTACAGGACTTCTGTTAAGCTGCCTTTTATGGCCCTGTTTTCAGAACACAGAGAAGTTCCAATTTCCCAGCTCTGCTGTAAGATAAGCAGTGGCCAAGATCCACTCTCACACTCCCTGACAGTGGCAGTGGCTGCCCCAGCCCGGTGGGGCCTGTGAGAGACAGAGCTCCTCTCTGGGGAGGGGCTGGCGCAGAGGGGGATACTCACAGGCCCTTGTAGAGGATGCAGCCGGCGAGCACGTGAGGCGATCGCTGGCAGGTCTGCAGGATGAGGGCAGCTTTCAGCAACAGTAGGGGCTCCACCTGCCCAGGGCAAGAAGTGCGCCCCAAGTTAGCACGCTCACTGACCAAAGGAGGAGCGTTCATAGCCCTGACTGGAACCTGTGAGGAGACCATGATACTCGGTAACAACCAGGACTTTCTACCTCTCCACACCCAGAGCTGCCGACCATGGCCACTGGTGGAATAAGGAGGTGTGTCTGGAAGCTGAAGGCGCAGCAGACACAGGCGTGTGGTTGTTCCAAGGAAACTCAGGAGACCTTGTCAGTGCAGAGGAGGGAGAGAGGGCATGGCCCTCAGAGGCACGTCCAGGTGCAGGCAGAAGCCACAGTCATGTGTTTCCTCCCTCCGAGGCCCAGTCACAGCTGTGAGGCAGCAGGCTCGAGGCCCTATGTGTCTATTAAATCACATACAATTACATCATCAGCATCTATTACTTGGAGGAATATTCCACTGCCACAGTCCTTCCAGAAAGCTGTGCACGAGTCTTTTTCTTACATAAGGACAGGGTGTGACCAGATCCACCAAAGAAAACCTAGTAGCAAGCTGCGGCAGGCACCTCTGCGTTTCGCCCGCCCGCCTGACAGATGGACCCGCCCGGCCCTGGGAGCTGTCAGAAGTCAATGTGCTGGAGCCACGTGCACGTGCTGTGGCTACTGGACCAAGTCTCCCGACTTTCTCTCAAAGCTTCAAGACTGGTCTCCCCGCTACCCAGACATTCAGTCATGCCACTCCGGGGTTTGACAGTTAAATAAGATGCCGTCCTCCTCCATTCTGGCCTAATGCTCATTTTTCGCCTAATGACCTAACCAGGTGGTTAAGCGAGAAGTGGGTAGACAGTCTCATTTTGCTCTGAAAGCGGTTCTGGGAAGCAGGTGTTCCTACATCATTCTGGGATTTAGAGAGAGAAGGTTCTGCGAGGTGCCCTGACTCGCCAGAGCGGACTCAGTTAGTGAGAGCAGTCATGGGGCTGCCACGCACGCCTTTCAAACTACGCTTACTGAGAAATGACGCGTGACATTCATTTCTCTAGCGAGGCAGTTCCCTGCTTCCTGCTACCCGACAAGAAACGTGTCCTGTCACTAAACACAAAATGAGGGAGTTCTGCTGGCCCGGTCCACAGGGAACAGCGCTGCTAACTCACACCTGGTGCTTCTCTGGTGGTTCGAATCCACAAGCGGCTCTACAGGAGAAACCCAGGCCATCTCCTCCTGCGTGATTTACAGCCTCCGGAAACCCGCCTAGAGTGTAGTTATGAGCCAGCTCCGACTCAAAGGCAATGAGCTGAGCTGGAGATAATAGGAAATGATTAAGAGGCATGGGCGTGTCACCTTGGTTCTGTCCCAGTTCCACAGCGAATTGAAGATCTTATGCAGGTCACCGGTGTTCTGCAGAATTTGCTCAATGAAGATGTCCCACTCGGTGCTCAGTTCTTTCTGGGAGCAGTTCTAGAAAATAAACCACCTCAAGTCAGTGCCCAAGCTGGGGAGTGAGAGATTTCCTGCAAGCATCCCACCTACCTCACAACATGGTCCCTCACGCAGGACAGCAGGCAGAGCCCCCACTTCACCCCGCTAACCTACCTGACTGCTGACAAACCTACAGGGAAGAGGAGAGGCTCGTGAGCCTGGGAATGGGCCTGGTCTATGTCCCTGGGGCTCTGAGAGCTCTGGCCCTGACCTTCTCACAGACAATGTTTATATATACAGAGTTACACAGCCTAGAATATGCTGCCAGGAGGGACATCATGCTCGGGGAGACGGGAGGGACAGTGCAAGAGCAGAAGACCCTCGATGAGATGGACTGCCTCAGTGACTGGGGGAATGGGGTAAGTGTGTCACAGACAATGAAAAGGGCTCAAGATAGAGCCGGGTTCAGAGCTCTTGTACGCGGGGTCGCTATGAGTCGCAGGCTGAGCCGCAGGCAACTCGACGGCACATAACAACGGAGTAAGTGCTGTGTGTCGGCACAACCGACATGTTCAGGGGTCCTTCGACGCCGTACTCGTACCTTGTAAGCCAGAGACACAGGTCCATGGTAGAAGCTAAAGAAGCCAATGAGCTGCTCCAGAAACTGCTTGCAGCTGACATCAGGGAGCTCGACAGCACAGCCTAGGGCCTGCAAAGAGGAACCCAGGGAGATCAGGAGATGCAGTGCACTGGGGAAGTCTGCAGTCAGGGGCCTCTTCAAATCACTGAGGAGCAATGATGTCAATGTGAGGAATAAGGTGCGTCTAATTCGGGCCATGGTCTTTTCAATCATTTGCTTTGCGTGTGAGAGCTGGACAGTGAATAAGGATGACCGAAGAAGAACTGAGCTGTGTTATCAGAGAAGAGTCCTGAACATCGCACAGACTGTCAAAAAGACAGCCAGATGTGTCTTGGAGAAAGTGCAACCAGAGAGCTCCTCGGAGGGAAAGATGACAAAGTTCCATCTCGGATACTTTGAGCATGTTGTTAGGAGAGAAAGTGTTGGAAAAGGACATCGTGCTTGAAAGGTGGAGGCTCAGCAAAGGAGAGGAAGATCTTCAACTCCCGGGACTGACACAGCGGCTGCAGAGGGTTCAATGTGTCAGAGATGATGGGGACGGGACAGGATAGGACACAGATCTGTTGTTCACAGGGTCGCTATGAGTGATCCTCAACTCCGCAGCACACAACAACAAAGGAGGCTGGCTGTTCCTCTCCTCTGAGCCGTCCCTGGAACCCTGGCATCCAGGCTTTTCACAGACAGACTCATGAGACATCAAAAGTGGTGTCCACTGTCCCCTCACCACCTCACTCCCCCAACTCCAGCCCACTGGTGCCCAGCGAACCATTTCTCTCGCACCTGTGCTGCCCGCTCTGAAATGCCCTCTCCCTTCCTGCTCATTCACCGCCCAGAGCTGATCCTCCACCTCCAGTGCCCACTGCAGATCCGAGTCCTCCCTGACACCTGTCTGGTAACTCTGGTCAATCGTGGCCTCTCTCATCGCCTTGGAAGGATGTATGTGAGTACCACATACTTTGTATCAGTCCTGAAACACTGTCCTGCAGGGCCATCTCATCTCCCCAGCTGGAGGAAGTGCTCAGAGGCCAGGTACTGCCTGGACCACATGAGAAGCCTGGCGGAGGGCCTAGCCCCCCAGGAGAGACCTGCAGAGTGATAGTCATCTGGACCTATGTTGAGAGAACTGGAATAGCTCATGTTCTTTGCACAGTAATTCATCTCTGGGGATAACTGCCACTTTTTCAAAGGCTGCAAATCACATGGGAGGAGACTGTCCACATTTCTCCTGTGGGCAGCTGGCAGATTCGAAGCACTTGCCTTTGGGTTGAGAGCCCAACTCCTTACCACTAAGCCACCAGAACGCCGTAGGATTATTACTGTCGTTGTTACAGGCCACTGAGTCATAACCAACTCACAGCTGACCCTCCAGCGGGTTTTCAGAGGCTGCAAATCACATGGGAGGATGCGGCCCGTCTTTCTCCTGTGGAGCAGCTGGGGGACTCCAACTGCCAGTCTTTGGGTTGGCAGCGCAACTCCTTGCCACTAGCTACCAACCCCCTTACACTGGAGCTCCCTGTAGAATCATCAAAAACTTTAAAAATACCTCACGTGCTCTCTCTCACACAACACACACACACACACACACACACACACACACACACACACTGCACTCTCTAAGAAGGTGACACTCTTTGCTCTACTCGCTGATGTGATCCGAGCCCTCACTGCAGAGAGACATAAAGTGAGAGGGCTCGGCCTCCTCCCCAGGCAGCCTGCAGCGTCCACCACCTTCCACGCTTGATCCCACCAGCACGTTCATAAGCGGCGAGATGCCAACTATAAAACAGAAAAGACCCAGGACCTAAAACAGCCACAGCAACTTCTGGCTTTAAGACTTCTGATGAGGCTACCGAAACCTCAAGACAGGCAATGGTTTCCTCACAAGGACACAGAAAGTGGGAACCGTATGAGAGAACAAGCTGACAAACTGGCCTTGATTCCAGGTGCACTGTAGATTGGGAATATGTATATAAAATAGAGAGTTAACAAAAATGGTACTTAAAGAACTCCTAGAACTCAATTAAAAAAAAAATAAACAAAATGCCACCAAACATCCACTTTATAAGTGAAGACATAGAAATGGGCACAAAACACATAAAAAGTGTCATTGTCATTAGTCATCGGAGCAAAAATGCAAAGTAAAACCACAGTGAGATACCACGCCCCCACCAGCACCGAGAACGGTTTAAATCAAACAGACTGACCACGTCAAGGTTGACAGAGATCCGAGATCACTAGAATCCTCACACATGCTTGGTGGAGACGGAAATGGTACCAGCCACTTGGGAAAACAGCCTGGCTGTTTCTTCTCAACAAGACTCACAGTCTAAGCTGGCAATTTCACTCCTAGATTTCACTCCCAAGACAAATGGAGACACATGTCTACAAGCAGTCGCACAAGGGACGCTCCCAGCAGGTGGCAGGTTGTAGCTGTCAAAACTGGATCCAATCCAGGTGTCCATCAAAAACAGGATGCGCCAGTAGACCACGGGATTTTAGGCAGCTGGGATACTGCTTGACAATAAATAGGACTGAAGTACCAATATATACAACATTACAGATTAACCTCAAAAACGCTGAGCAGCATGAATGAAGCCCGTCAACCGTAATACTTACGGAATACTGTATTATTCCGCTCAGATGGTGCTTACCATTCTAGGGAGGAAAACGTCTAGAACAATGACTGAGAGGCCCTGTGTGACACAGCAGAACTGCCCCATGGGAACGGCTCAGCTGACATCTCTAAGGGCGTAAGTCACCAGGTCTTTTCTCCTGCAGAGTATCCAGTGTTTGAACCGCCAACCTTTTGGTCAGCAGTAGAGTGTCTTAACCACTCCCACTCCCACTAAGGCCCCTTGCTGGCTGGAAGGAGCCTGGATGGAACACTCAGTGCACTTTGTAGAGCTGAGCCACAGTCGGTGCCTCAGGACCCGTGGGAAGCAGGCGGAAGAAAGGACAGGCTTCACCTCACTTCTCTTCACACGCTGCTAGGTGGCAATGATGGAGCTTTGCACTAGGCTTTTGCAAACAAGCTCAAAGGAAATTTGTAAAAGAATTTGCGAGGTGGCATGGCACTGGGGCAGGTAGGGAACTCTCTGGGGTGGCGTTGACGTTCTATGTTTTGACGGGGCTTTGAGTTGCACAAGATGCCTTAATTGCCAGATGCATCAGATGGTGCGTGTCAGATGTGTATCTTCATCAACTGTCCATTTTCCCCTCACAAGAAAAAAGAACCTGCAGTAAATAGGGAACTCTGATTAATGGCATAAACTAAGAGGTGCCGGAGGGAGCTCTGATGGCTAAGTGGTAAGGAACTGTGCTGCCGACGCAAAGGTATGTAGTTCAAATCCACCAGCTTCTCTGCAGAAGAAAGATGGACAATCTCTTCCTGAGTGATTTATTCCTCTGAAAAGCCATCGAAGGTTGGTTCTGTCTCCACTGTACACAAGAACCACCACCACCCACAACGTACTCTGGGGGAAGAAGGTACAAATGTGTGCAACTTGCTTTTTTTTTAATTTTTTTATTTTGTGTGCGTGTACCGTCAAATCAGATCTGACTGGTACAGGAGGATATTGCGCCTCCTTCTCCGGCAGAGCTTCTGGTGGACTCGAACCGTGTTCCTCTGGGATTGCAGTGCAGCTTCTTGCCACTAGGCCACCAGAGCTCCCCTGCAACTTGCTTTTAAAAACACTAAACATAATGCTGAGTGACATTAGTCAGTCCCCAAGGGCCAAGCATGGTATAAAACCACTACTACAAAAAGCTAAGAAAGGGTTTCTCCAAATAAAAGCCATCTTAGAGGTTCAGCAGTGACGGGAGGGAGGGACAGGAGGGAAAATGAACAGACGGACAAAGTGGATGAAGAGAAAGGCGATACACAGTAAGGGACTGACTGAATACTGTAATCAGTTAACCACATTCATCAATGGTAATTAATGTGGGAAGACTAAAAGGCTATGTATTAGTTTAGGAAAAATTAGTATGATTTGTAAGCCTTCACGGAAGTAAATAAATAAAAACCACCAGAAAAATAAATAAGTTGACCTGATGGAAGATAAAGGCATGGATGTTGCTGTATTAGGTGCCGTTGAGTTTGACCCTGTGAACAACAGATCCCAACCCCATTCTCTCCTGCGCCATCCTCACACTTCCTAACACCTACAGCGCATTGCAGCAGTCACTGGGTCAATCCACCTGGCTGAGGAGACCCTCCACCTTCCCAAGCATGACGTCTCTCTCCAAGGAACAGCCTCTAACAGCAACACCTGAAGTATGTGAGGCGAAGCTTTATCATCTCCGCCTCCAAGGAGCACTCTGGCTGCACCTTCTCCACGGCATCCTTGTTCGTTCCCTTGGCTGTCCATGGGATGTTCAGTGCTCTTCTCCAACACCACAGCTCAAAGGCATCAATTCAAACTGGTGCTCAAAAGCACCACCACAGCTCAAAGAATTGATGCCTTTGAGCCTGTGGTGTTTGAAGGCATGGATAAGCGATAGGAAAAAAAAAATGCTAGCAGAATCTTCATTGTAGAATTTAGCAGGCCTGTGAGCATTTGGAGAGCTCTGGTAGCTTAGTGGTAAAGGAGTTACGCTGTCAACCTAAAGGCACGTGGTTCGAATCCACAAGCTGCTCCGCAGGGGAAAAACAGGCAATCTCCTCCTGTGTGGTTTACAGCCTCTGAAAACCCACTCAGAGAACCAGCTGTGAGTCGGGTCCAATTCCCCGGTATGTAACAGTAACACTGAGTACTCAGAGACAAGGATGATGAACTTTGTCTTATATACTTTGGCCCTAAGGAGGGGGCCAATCTTTGGAAAAAGACATCACGCTGGGAACGGTGAGGGAGGGTCAGCGCGAGAGAGGAGACCCTCAAGAAGATGGCCTGAAGAATGAGCGGACCAATGGGCTCTAGTGTCCTGGATACTGTGAGGATGGCGCAGGACAGGACAAGGTGCAGATCTCTTCAGAGGAGCTATGAGTCTATGTCACCTGACAACAATGAATATTTGCCTCTGAGGAGGAACGTGGCCACACTTCCTCCAAGACAGCCAGGAGCAGTGCAGTAACCATGCTGGGCGTGTTCTCAAGTGGATGGCTATAGTGTGTGCAGAAAGCATCCTGAGGCCAGGAGGGTTGCAGAGCACCCGACGCTGGGTTGAGGGGCTGCGGATGGAGGCCGGCTGTAGAAGGCAATGCTCTGAAGCTTTGGGGTCCCAGGACTCACACTCAAGTCGGCCAGCCTGGCTCGCTCTGGAAGGCACCCTGAGGTGCTCTGACTACCTGCTGAACTCACCCAGAGGTAATCTCCGTCCACCTTGATGGCAAACTTCAGCTTCCGCAGACGGATGAGGGTGGGAGGAGATCCAGAAATGTCCGCAATGCAGCGGACCACGCCGGCGATCTGTCCGCAGAGCAGCTCCTGCTGGTCGAGCAGCGTCTGCGGGGGAGGGGAAGGAGCACATTCCAGACAGGAAGGGGAAATTCCTTAGCTCCACATCAGTGGAACAGGGGGGCTGGTGGCCAGCCTGCTTTCACATGGTCCATCCGTTCAGAAGAGGTTTCTAACACTTTAAAAGGACTGTACAAGAGCCAAAAGCAAAGGAAACTATATGAAGGAGACTTTCTGTCGCCCACAAAGCCCAAAGCCCTTACCATGTGGCCGTTTCTAGCAGCGGTTTTTGACACCTGCCCTGGAGGACTGAGCTGTCTGGAACAGCCATGGCAAATGCGACTGTGCACTGGTGCACATGCACACCTGAGGCACATGTGACGATGCGGGAGGCTTTGTCCCTCAGATCCTCTGCACATAGCGGCCGAAGGGCCCGGGTTAATCCCAACCTCCACGATGTGAGAGAATGAAGAACCACTTGCTGATCAATCTTGTTGTTGTTGTGTACCATCAAGTCAGAGCCTCCCCGTAGCTGACCTCCAGCGGGTTTTCAGAGGCAGTTAATCACATGGGAGGAGACTGCCCATCCTTGTCCTGCGGGGCAGCTGGTGGATTTGAACCGAGGGCCTTCTTGGTCCAACTTAGCACTAACTAGACGTGGGACAGCCGGGTCCTATGGCTGCTGCATCTCGTTACCAGATGCAACAGAGCACGCACGCACCACTTACATGGATCGGGGGTCTAGATCTTACCGTTGGTTTAAAGGAGACTCTGCGGATGCAACACGGGAAGCACCCCAGCAATTGCCACACCCAGATGGCGGATGCGCGGACATTATTCTAATTACGCAGACAGCCTGCATTCAACTCAATGGCATGCTGGGGTTGGTGCACAGCGAGGACTACGGGAAAATACGAGGGACTCAGAACCCACGTTACCAAGCTGGGTTACTTGGGGCTTGTGTGGGTCTTAAGGAAGAGGGAGATAAGTGGTGGAGGGGGTGCAGGGAAAATGAGGGGGGATGAGGGAAAAATTAAGTGACATTTAAGAAAATAAGGTGAAATTTAAATGTGGGCTTGGTATCAGATGGTATTAAGGTGCTGTTACTGTTGTTGTGTACCACAGAGTCAGAACTGACCCATCGCTGACCCTCCAGCGGGTTTTCAGAGGCAGTTATGGGAGGAGGTTGCTCAACCTTCTCCCCTGGTGGCCTCAAACTGCGTGCCTTCGGGGGTGCAGCACAGCTTCTTGCCGCCAGGCCATCAGAGCTCTCTATTAAGGCGTCACCATGATCAATTACTTTTACTTTTACAAGGTGTGCTGGTGCTAAGACATTTCCTTATCACTTACGGATGCCACCTGACTTCCACGATGGGGCGATGCAGCAAAGACTGCAGATCACCTGAGAATGTTCTAGATAAAAAGGATGGGATGGGGGTTGCTGTGAGGTGCCATCAAGCCGACACTGACGCACAGCGACCCTGTGAACGACAGATCTGAACCTTGTCCTTTCTTGTGCCACATTCGCGATCTCTGTCAGGCACAAGTCCACTGTTGGAGTCCCCGTGTCCATCCGTTTCGCTGACAGTCCTCCTCTTTTGCTGACTTTTCCCAGCACTATGTCTCTAAGGACTGGTCCCCCCTAAAAAACACACCCAGAGTAAATGAGACAAAGTTTCAGCATCCTTGCCTCTAAGAAGCACTCTGGTCGTCCACCCTTCAAGACTGTCTGATCATCAACACTCTGCATAAAGTTAACAAAACGCTGATCCCTGTCGAAGCGGGCGCTGTGCGTATAGCATCTCCGTTTACCACTCTCTCTGCTTTCGCGTGGGTCTAGATAAAAGTGTTTCTTTTATTTGAAAGTAAACTGATCAAAACGCCAGTGGCTGAAACAAATCCTAATGGCTAGAGAGGGTTAGATGAGACAGCACAGAGCCGCTTGGGAAATTTAAGACCCGAATAAGAAATAGGACCACCAAGAATAAGACAGAAGAGATTTCACATGCCTGGATTCCTCAAATGAAACCACCTCAGTGGAAACTCAGCGCTTTTGAAAAGCCACTGCTTAGAGGCAGCAGGACCCCTGCAGAGAAGTGAGCTGCAGCTGGGCTTACCTGAGCAGGGTAAAAATAACAAATACCGGCTCTCGTTGGGTCGCCTTCTTCCTTCACCTTCGAACCATCATAAAGGAAGAAATAATTCCACCTGGCAAGAGGACAGAAGGGAGCCGTGTTTCCTTTCATGCTGTCAGAATGGCATTTTAAAACCGCTTCCCACTTCCCAGCCCCAGGGGGGCTCATTATTCAGAGTTTGAAAAGCTCTCTGGCAGCTCCAGAAGAAAGCAGACTGAAGCGACACACAGAGATTAAAACCTTCTCTGAGTGCAGCAGGGTCGAGCCCAGCCACCAGGGCACCTGCCCAAGATGAGGCTGTCGAGTGAGGGTGAACAATGATGGTTCGCGTTTCAAACACTCGACCTTAACTCTGGGCCCACATGGTTTGGTAAACAGACCCGTGGAGCTCTGGTTACAAAATAATTTAGGGCTAGGGGAGCTCTGGTGGCCTAGTGGCAAGAAGCTGCACTGCAATCTCAGAGGCGCACAGTTTGAATCCACCAGATGCTCTGCCGCGGAAGGAGGGACAATCTCCTCCTGTACCAGTCAGATCTGATTTGACGGTACACACACACACACACACACACACACACACACACACAAATAATAAAAAAATAAAATAAAGTTATAAAAAAATAATTTAGGGCTGGGTAAAATGCACGCCTCACAACTGGTGAGCAGGGTGATGCTGGGAGACAGCACTTCCATGGACTCAAGGCAGCCCTGTTGGCTCAGTGCTAAGAAGCTTTGCTGCCAACCCAAATGTACGCTGGTTAAAATCCATCAGTTACTATGTGGAAGAAACATGGGCAATCTCCTGTGAGATTGACAGCCTTTGAAAACTGGCTGGAGAGTCAGCTGTGAGTTGCTTCCAACTTGATGGTACACAACCACCACCACCACCACCACCACCACCACCACAGATTCAAGGGAGGGCTGGTGACCTAGTGGGTAGCGAGTTGTGCTGCCAACTCCAAGTTGTTGTTGTGTGCCGTCGAGTCGTTGCGACTCATAGCGACCCTATGTACAACAGCCCTAAACCGTGCTCTATCCTGTGCCAATCTCATTGCCCCCGACACGCCCATCCCGATTACCCCAGTCACTGAATCAATCCACCTCATAGAGGGTCTTCCCCTCCTGCGCTGTCCCTCCACCCTCCCAAGCATGATGTCCTTCTCCAAGGACCTGTCCCTCCTTACAACATGTCCAAAGTATGTCAGGCGAAGCCCCAGAACCCTTGTCTCCAAGGAGCATCCTGGTTTAACCCTCTCTAGGTTGAATCTGTTTGTTTTCTTGGCAGTCCACGGTACATGCAATACTCTTCTCCAGCACCACAGCTCAAAGGCGTCAATTCTCCTTCTATCCTCCCTAGTCATTGTCCAACTCTCTGATGCATAACAAGTGACTGCAAAAGGCGGACCTTAGTCTCCAGAGAGACACTGTTGCTCTTGAGTATTTTGGAGAGGTCCCTAACCGCAGACTTTCCCATCGCAATACGTTTTTTTATTTCCTGGCTACTGGTGCCAAGAGTGTTGACCGTGGAGCAGAGCAAACTGAGTTAGACAGTTCAAATCCACGAGCTGCTCCAAGGGAGAAAGATGGCCAGTCTCTTCCTATGTGATTTACAGCCTCTGAAAACCTGCTGGAGGGTCAGCTATGAGTTGGTTCTGACTGTTGCAACAACGACCATGGCTTCATGCAGTCTTTCTGCAAATGTTGAACAGGGGCTGAGGGCAACAGTGAAAAAAATGACAAATGAATAAACATTTAACTCCGGGCAGTGAGCCCGACGGAGGGGACCCCAGGACCCTGGGGGTGCTCACAGGAAACACCCCCCCCGTCAGAATCCTACCAGACTTCTGAACATATCTCAAACACACTTCCCACTGCAACCTCCCCCAGCCCGATTCTTTCCCAGTTTGCTGCAGCTCTCCAGTCAGCCCATGCTGCCCAGCCTTGAACCACTGTGACCCGTAGAGTCTGCATGGCCTGAGTTTTGGAAGTAGTTTGCCAGGCCTTTCTTCCTAGTTTCTCTTTGTCTGGGAATGTTACTGAAACTTGCCAGCCTCCACTGACAGATGGGCGGGGGCTGTGGCTGAGGTGCACTGACCAGGATTCAAACCTGGATTTCCCCCAAGGAAGACAAGAACGTGTTACAGTCCAGCCTGTCGTTGTTGTTAGCCACTGAACTGACCGTGACTCCGAGTGACCCTGTGATCTGCACATACCGATCCTGCAACATCCCCACAACCTCCATTCTCTCAGAGCCCGTTGTTATGGTCACCGTGTGGACCCATCTCATTGAGAGTCGTCCTCTCTTTCTCTGACCCTCCACCTTTCCCAGCCCAGTGTCTTTGCCAAAGACTGGTCCCTCGTGATGACGTGCCCATGACGTCCATGAGAGGAAGCTTCGTCACCTTTGCCTCTAAGAAGCACTTCCTCAAACGCGGCACTGTTTGTTCCCTTGACAACTCAGCCTGCGGCATCAGCAAAGTGCTCCAGGGTCTTGCCTGATGACCTCTGTAAAGACATTAGGCAAACTCAGAGGCCGGGCTTGGGGCTTACATCTGGGCCTTTGAAAGCACGCGCATCAGGGTATTTCACGGCATAAAGGGAAAGAGCTGTGACCGCTCTCTTCTCAGTCTCCACCACTCCCTTGGCCTCCCCTGGCTCCCTCTCAGCTCATCTTCCTGAAGAGAACCACTAACTCCGTCTCAGACAGTCTGCCAAGTCCCAAGGCCAGATACACAACTTCCTGCAGGAAAAGTCCAGATCTTTCTGCCACACTCCACTCAAAGCCTGCTCTCCTTCCTTGCGCATTCTCAGAGGCCCAAGCACTCCAGAGAAAACCCACGTGACATTTCCCCATGGACTCAGTCACTCCGTCTCATTGTCATCAACTCAGAGCTCAGCCTCCAGGCTCCTGTTGTTGTTGGCAGGTACCGTGGAGTCCTAGACGACTCACAGCGATCCTAAGAACAAAAGTCCTGAACACTTATATAACTTTCATCGTTTCTCCACGTTCACAGGGTTTCTGGAGGCAAGCTATTCCAAAGTGGATGCCACTCCTGCTTCCAACTTGTTTTAATCGGGGAGCTCCACCAAACACTGTCTGCCGTGGGTGACCATTCTCTCATTTGACTCATCAGTTTCAACCGTGTTTAGCATCACAGCAACCACGAGTTGCCTCTTTGTACAGCAAACAGACAGACGAGGACTATGCCACTTAGAAGAGTGTCTGATCAGAAACAATTAAAACCTGGCCTGAGGGCCGCAGGTTAAAACCACCCACCTTTGGCTTGGTAGTGTAAATATCCACTAGGCCAACAGAGCTCTCTCGTTGTTGTTGTTGTTAGGTACTGTCGCGTCCTAGACGCATTCCAGGCTTCTCGAGGCTGTAAACTGCACAGGAGGAGACTTCCCATTCTCCCGCAGAGCAGCTGGTGCTAGTGAACCATGTGCCCTATGTTGGCAGCACAATTCCTTCCCACGAGGCCACCAGGGTTCCCCTAGAGCTTCACAGACACACTGCAGAACACCCTCCAAGAGCCAGCCTGTTAAAGCTCTGCTGGACGGGAAGTTCTGAACTGCCACCGTCTTTCAAATGCACCATAAGACCCAGGTTGTTAACAAAGCTGGTCGTCCCAGTGGGTCCGTGAATTGTGTGCGGGGCTACTGGCTGAAAGGTCAGCGGTTTGAATCCACCAGGTAGGAGAAATCTGAGGCAGGAGGCCCACTCCTGTTGAAGTTCACAGTGTCAGGAGTCACCAGGACGGCCACAGAGAACTGGAATTGACTCCATGGTCCTGGTCGGGTGTCCTCCCTACAGCCTAGGAGAAAACACTGCAGGACGCTCACAGGGTTCAGACAGACGGGCTTTGTAACGAAATGGTTCACAGGCTGCACAGACGTGCTCTGAAGAACACAGCTGTTGTTGCTGTTGTGTACCATGGGGTCAGAACCGACCCACAGCTGACCCTCCAGCGGGTTTTCGGAGGCAGTTAATCTCGCACGGAAGGAGACTGCCAACCCCTCTCCTGTGGAGCAGCTGGTGGATTTGAACTGCGTGCCTTTGGGATTGCAGCGCAGCTTCTTGCCACTAGGCCACCAGAGCTCCCTCTGTGAGGAATGCAGTATGTATATGCATACATGCTGTTGTTGGGGTACACTACTAATTCAGAACCGACGCCGAGCTGCCCCTCCAGCTGGTTTTCAGAGGCTGTAAATTGCACGAGAAGAGACTGCACTTCTCTCTCCCTCAGAGCAGCTGGTGGATTTGAACCATGTACCTTTGTGTCAGCAGGGCAGCTCCTTAGCACTAGGCCACATGCACATATATACACACATACATATGAGTACACACACACACACACACACACACACACACGTAACAGGAATCTCTGGTGGTGAAGTTTGTAGGGAATTGAGCTGTAATTCAAAGGTGGTATTTCTCCGGTGGTTCAAATCCACCAGTGGTTCTGAGGGAGAAAGACAGGCAATCTCCTCCTATGTAGTGTGTTGTTGTTATTGTGTACTGTAGAATTGGGACCAATCCACAGCTGACCCTCCAGCAGGTTTTCAGAGGAAGTTAATCACACAGGAGGAGACGGCTCATCTTCTTCCTGTGGAGAAGCCGGTGGCTTTGAACCAGGTGCCTTCAAGACCGTAGTGCAGCTTCTGGCCGCTAAGGCCACCCACCTCGGAATACACCCACCTTGGAATACCTGGCGGAGGGGGGGCTAGGAGTTGGTTCGACTTGACAGCAATGAGCTGAGCGGCTTTTGTTCTTGTTTTATTTTTTCCTCTGTGTAAAATGCACACAGCGTGGCTGGGGCCCGCCAGCGAGCCCAGCAATGTGGTCCAGCAGGCAGGGCGAGCCAGATCTCAGGCGGCGCCCATACTCACCACGAGGCCAACTTCGTCTCTGGGGTGCTCGAAGCCATTTACTTGCCAGCTGCCCTCATCCTCTTCCTCCGGCTTCTCTTTTCTGCTCTCGCCTCTATCTCCCCCAGAAAGATGCTTCCCCAATCCAAAGAATCCAGGTGTAGAAGGTTTACGCGTTTTCAGTGCCAAATGCCAACTGTTTAGTTCTCACTTAGCAAGAAAGTGCCACTTCTCTGCTTGCTTGTAGCTCCGGACCTTCATGAATATGACAGTGCTGCTTGGAACTCTGGGAGAGAAGAGGATAAAACAAGAGAATTCCACCAGCAAAGGCGAATCTACCGGTCTGGCTCCTTTGGTGTGACCATGGCTGTCTCCAGAATCAACTCCACAGGGCCTGTTGTCCAGGGAGTTGTTGAGAGGAGGGCTGAAGGCGGAGGAGGGCTGAAGGCGGCGAGACGGGGAAACTTCTAGTTCGTTCTAATCAAAGCCATTCTGGCGTTTCTTTGACAAGATTGAAGCTTTCAGTTCAAGCATCCCTGCCTTCTTGGCCCTAGGGGGTGGAAAAAAAAATACAAGGACTAATTATTTCTTAAACCCATGTGAAAGCATGTGACCCCACAGGGTTAAGTAAATGGTACACTTCAAAAGGGCTTTCTACCAAGTGGAAAACTGTGTCTCAAGAAGGGGGGGACCCAAAAGGGTAGCAGAAGATTTCTTCTTTTTTAAGTTATTTTTTTCCAGGTTCCCACAAGGAGTCTATTGAGGGAGCCAAAGCCAGTCAGAGGACACAGGAGTCCTACCACAATCATCTCCCTTGAAGCAGCCGGGCTCCTGTATGATGGGACACTCTGGTTGAAGTGGGTCAAATAAGTTCTTTAGAACACATTCCAGGCATCACAGATGACAAACTGAGCAACTAGTGTGAAGAGCTGTGAGGGCTAAGAGCTACAGGAAGTCCCTGCGTGGTAGCCTGTGCTCACTCACTGACCCGAAGGCGGGTTACTGGAACTTATCCAGGAGAACCCTGAAAGAAAGGCCTGGCAGTTGCTTCTGCTATGATTATAGTCAGAGAAACCTATGGAACAGTCCTATCATGTAACACGTGGGGTTTCCATGTAACTCATCCAACAATAAAGGTTTTTCAGGAAGAGTCCAGGAGAGATCAGTCCTTGGAGAAGGACATCATGCTTGGAAGGGTGGAGGGACAGCTCAGGAGAGGAAGATCCCAGATGAGATGGATTGACTCAGTGACTGGGGCAATGCAGGTAATGCAGGTAGGAGTGTGGGAATTAGTGAGACTGGGTCAGGACAGGGCGGGGTTCAGAGCCGCTGTACTTAGGATCACCACGGGTCACAGGTGACTTAACAGCACAATATCCCATGGACTGCCTAGAAAGCAAGCAAATCTGTCTTGCAGGAAGCACAACTGGGGTGTTCCTTAGAGGCCAGAATCGTTAAACGGCATCTCACGTAATACGGACATGTTGTCAGCAGGGTCTGTTTTTTGAAAACGCTATCAAGCTGGAAGTTGTGTCATCTCATGCACTCGCTGCGAAGGGTCAAGGACTGCAGCCTTCAGTATGGACTAAGGCTCAATGTCAAGAAGACAAAGATTCTCACCACTGGACCAATTAGCAGCGTCAGGATGGATGACGAAGAGACTGAGAGTGTTCACAGCTTCAGTTTGCTCGGCTCCACAGTCAACACTCTTGGCACCAGCAGTCAGGAAATCAAAAAGCGTATCACGATGGGAAAGTCTGCTGTTAGGGACCTCTCTAAGGTACTCAGGAGCAACAGTGTCTCTTTGGAGACTAAGGTGCGCCTGATACAGGCCATGGTATTTGCAATCGCTTGTTATGCATCAGAGAGTTGGACAATGACTAGGGAGGACAGAAGGAGAGTGGATGCTTTTGAGCTGTGGTGCTGGAGAAGGGTACTGAATGTACCATGGACTGCCAGGAAAACAAACAGATTCATCTTGGAGAGGATTAAACCAAGCTACTCCTTGGAGGCAAGGATTCTGGGGCTTCATCTGACATACTTTGGACATGTTGCCAGGAGGGACGGGTCCTTGGAGAGGGACATCATGCTTGGGAGGGTGGAGGGACAGCGCAGGAGGGGAAGACCCTCTATGAGATGGATTGATTCGGTGACTGGGGTAATTGGGATGGGTGTGTCAGAGGCGGTGCGGTTGGCGCAGGATAGAGCACGGTTAAGGGCTGTTGTGCATAGGGTCGCTATGAGTTGGAAACGACTCGACGGCACATAACAACAACAACAACAATCAAGCTGGAGAAGGTGGCGAGTTAAAGAGAAGAGAGGAAGACTCCCGACAGGATGGACTGACACAGTGACTGGAACAATGGACTTGACCTTATCAGAGATGATGAGGATGGTGCAGGATAGCGCAAGGTTCACATGTGTTGTTTGCAGGGCCACAGTGAGTTGTTGATTGGAGGGCACCTCAACACCACACACATGTACACCTAACGTGGCTGCTGTGGTCATTCCAAAAAATAAACAAATCAAGACCCAAATCTATTAACATGGCAGCACCGTGAGAGATGGAGAAGAGACTGAGGTTGTTAATAATCACGGCTTGCTCGGCTCTACCTTCAACACTTTTTCTAAATTCAGTGTTAACTTTTCCTTTATTATGTTCCACAACCAACACTCTTGGCAACAGCAGCCAGGAAATCAAAAGATGAATTGCATTGGGAAAATCTGCTCTCAAGGATCTCTCCAGAGGACTGAAACGCAACGATGTTAGTCTTAGAGACTAAGGTGTGCCTCTTTCAGGCCATGGTCTTCACAATTATTTCTTATGCAGATGAGAGCTGGACAATGACTAAGGTTGAGAGATGCCTTTGAGTTGTGGTGCTGGAGAAGAGTCTTGAACATACCATGGACCGCCAAGAAAACAAGTCTATCTTGAAGAGGGTGAAACCAAGTTTCTCCTTGGAGGCTAGGAGTTTGAAGCACCACCTCACATAATTTGGGCACATGCCAGAAGGAACCAGTCCTTGGAGAAGGACAACATGTTTGGAAGGGTGGACAGACAGCAAAGGAGAAGACCTTGGATGGGATGGATTGACACAGTAACTGGGGCAACAGGGGCAGGTGTGTCGGAGTCAGTGAGACTGGCTCAGGACAGGGCAGGCTTCAGAGTTGTTGTACATAGGGTCACTACAAGTTGCAGGCGACTCGACAGCACATAACAACAACAGTTACCATGGAGTTGATTCCAATTTCCAGAACAGACTGCCCTATGACATTTCCATAGCGGTAAATTTTTACAGAAGCCCACAGCCTCTTCTTTCTCCTGCAGAGCTGGTGAGTTTGAACCACCAACCTTCCAGGTAGCTGCTCTTCATTCAACCAGTGCAACACCACCAGGGTCGCAACAACTCCGGTAAATAACAGGACCCAAATGAAAACAGACCACCACAAAACAAAACCTAAAACAACAAACCTGGCACCTTGACAGGCCAAAGGTAATCTGAACATGGTGAACTCCACAGCTAGGCAAGTTGCCAAAGCATAGCCAAAAAGAGTAGGCCATCAAGAGGCTTTCAAACTCTAAGAGGAAGACAGCTCTACGTATTATGGAATTTCAGAGTCAGAGGCGTCCTGACATCATTTACTCCAAACCTCTCCTCCAAATACTACTTTACTTCTGCCTTCCTCTCACCAGAGAGGAGGCCCACAGCTGACAGATTTAATCTTCCTGCCACAAAAAAACAACAAACCCTCAATTGTCACTGAGGCAGCTTCAACTCACGGGAACTTTCTCTGCACAAGGCGGAAAGAAACGTATACTATGTGGATTTTTTACTTCCAAGAGATAGCCAGGCCTTTCTCCTGAGGTACATCTGGATGGGTTTTTTTAAAAAAAATTATTATTTTGTGTGTGTGTGTACCGTCAAATCAGATCTGACTGGTACAGGAGGAGACTGTCCCTCCTTTCCCGGCAGAGCATCTGGTGGATTCGAACCATGCGCCTCTGGGATTGCAATGCGGCTTCTTGCCACTAGGCCACCAGAGCTCCCCTATCTGGATGTTTTCAACATGCCAACCTTTCAGTTAATGCAAGAGTCCATGACATAACCATCTGTGCCACCCAGAGAGTACCTTTTACCAAGGTAACTGGCTCAAGTATATCAGAGATGGTAAGGACAGCACAGGACAGGGCAAGGTTCAGACTATAAACTGTAGTCGACTCAATCACATTTAACAACAACAAAACTGTAACTGAACACAGGACAGGGCAAGGTTCAGACCTGTTGTTCATAGGTTCGCTATATACTTTAGTGGACTCAAACACATTTAACAACAACAAAACTGTAACTGAATATTTAGCTTCTCTATCCACGACTGAATAAAAATGGCCTTTCAGGAAAACATCAAAGGAAGCGCTTCTCTGAAAGGCCAATATTCCCAGTAACATGATCTGAAGCGTGTGCTCGCGTCTCAGTCACTCTCCTGAGACCACAACAGTTTGTTAAGCCTCCTCTGGTGGAAAGAATACCCGAGAGCAGCCTTGCTGAATTTTGGCAGCCTGCAAAACTATCTCTGCTCAGCTCTAAAGATCTTGGGATGGTTCTCTGCAGGGACAACTAAAAGGTGATCACTGTCATGATCGTCTGTGGCGCACATCAGGGTGCCGAGATAGCTTCTGGAACCAAGGGCAGCGGCCTGAAGGTCCTCCCTTGTCATTACGTTCTTAAGATAACTGGCTCCTCCATCTCAAAAAGGTGCAGAAGCGGCCAGTGATGGCCTTGGGGTGGGAATGGGTGTCAGGATGTGATCTGAAAGCCTGGGAAGTGACCCCAACAGTCCCAAAGAGGGAAGACATGATCCGGAGCGCCTTGGGGAGGAGCAGGGTGGGAGGGTTTGCACGACAGCGGAGCTGGAGAGGGGACGCCAAAGGCTGCGAGGGGCCAGGAAGCGACCAATCAAAGCCCCCGAGGGTCAGCTAGTGACCAGCAGTCGCCCGAAGAAATAAGGAGCGTCTGGTCTCACCTCCAGAAGGCTGGGAAGTGGTGGACAAGGGCCCTCGGTGGGCTGGGAGACTGTCTCTCGGTGTGCCCGCGCCGCCAGGCTCCGCTGGCCCGCTGGAGCAGCTCAGTTTCGGAGTTCGGGACCCAGATGATGAGCAGTGAAGGGAAGCTACGCCCACCTCCCGATATCTACAAGGTGTGCAGCGATTGAAGTTCTAGTCCCGGCTGCGCGCCGTGATTACGTAACCGAGCGCGCCGTGCGCCTCTGACGTCGGAACTATGGCGGCGGCGGCTGGAGCTCTGGAATGGCGCACGGAGATGACGTAACTGAACGCGCCCTGTCCCGTCGGAGCTACGGCGGCGCCTGCACTGGAGACCTAGCCGGAGACGCGCGGAGATGACGTCACTGAGCGCGCCCTGCCCCGTCGGAGCTACGGCGGCGCCTGTAGGGGAGACCTAGCCGGCGACGCGCGGAGATGACGTCACCGAGCGCGCCCTGCGCGTGTGCTAGCGGAGCTATGGCGGCGGCGGTAGCTCTGGAACCCTGGCAGACGGCCGCTCCGCGGAAAAGGCGCTCAGCTGCGCGGCGACCGAAGCAGAGAGAAGCGACACCTCGGGACCCGGAGACGGATCCCGAGACAGACAGTACGACAGTACTTCGTCGCATCGAGGAGGCCCAGTGAGTGCGGGCTTCGCCTTTGATTGGGGTCCTGCTCCGTTCTGAGCCTCAGTGTTCTCATCTGTGAGTTGGGGATAACTGTAAAGTCAAGAAATCATTGCAAAACCCCAAGGAGCTCATGACAGGTCTTGTTATTAGCAGCCGTCGAGTGGAGTATGACTCATACCGACCTTAAGATAAACAGATCTGAACCCTGCCCTATCTTACTCTTTCTTTATGATTTCTGACATAACTGAGCCCATTGCTACAGCCACTCCTGCTGTTTGCCTGGCGTAGGCTTAAGGGTGTTGTGTACTTTTATTCATTTTGAACAAGGCTACAACTCTCAGAGGTATAGAACTCTGGGTCTCAAAGAGGCATCAGGAAGGTTTCAGCCCAGGTCTTCCTGTAGTTCTCTCGTTAAGTTGACATTCTTGCTCTTCAGCACTTCGGAGAGGTCTCTGAGTAAATTTTCCCAGTACAACACTTCTTTCTCCCAAGAAGCAGTTGGTGGATTCGAGCTGCATGCCTTTGGATTGGCGGCACAACTCCTTACTTACTAGGCCACGAAATCTAAATCTAGCTCCCTAGATTTTAATCAAGTTCCATTTCTTTAACTGTTAAGCTTGTTTTGCTGTGGATTTGTAGAGCCCCATTGGCTTGAATAAGCATAGATCCTTACTTTTACCTTGGAATCCTTTCTAATAAAGACTGTTGTTTACTGAGTATTTACTGTATGCAAAGCTCTGTAGTAAGGGCTTCATCTCCTTTAATCTCTCCAGCCGCCCTCCATAAGGGAACTCTGGCAGCATAGTTCCTAGGGAGTAGTGTTGCTAACCCAAAGGCCACACTTCACAGGTGGTTCGAATCCATCAGCAGCTCTGCAGGAGGAAAATGAGCTGTCTCCTCCTTCTGTGCCATTTACAGCCTCTGAAAACCCTCTGGAGGGTCAGCCCTGAGTCGATTCAGACCCAAAATCAGTGACTGACTTTGTCGCCCTCTGTGGTACATCCAGTGAGCATCCCTGCTTTAAGAGATGAGGAAACTAGAACTTGGGCTAAATCTGCATATTAATATCTTCTTATGGTGCTGTTCCTCTGTGCCAAGCTCTGTTGTGGACCAGGGATGCAGCAGGGAGCACAGACTGAGACACAGAGCTCACCATTGAGACCTGTACCCTAAGAATTGGGGGCCCCTTTCTCTCATGCACTCTCTGAGCACCAGCGGCCCCACATGCTATGGCCCTGGGTATGTTCACTGCACTTCCTTCTTGTCCAGTTGACACATAAGGACAGACTGTGTGATGCTAGCCATCAGCACTGCATCCAGCTTGGCACGCAAGGCAAGTTTTGGTCAGGGCAGCTACAGAAGGATCCACATTGATCACACTACCTTTTCTCAACAGGAGGGACCTTCTCGTGTCTGATTTTTGGAGTTCAGCGCTAGGTAAGTACCACCAGGTAAAAAGTAGGGGGTTGGGAGTGACAGGAGGAAAGGCCGAGTTGAGGGGGCCAGGAAGGGAAGTCAACTCTCAACTGAGGACAGCTAGTTTTCTGACTCTTACCTGTGGCTCTATGCCTTTTGGCATTTAACCCTGACCCTCAGTTTCTTTATCTGTGAAATGAGGATGATGATGTACCTGTCCCCAAGTGTGGTTCTGAGAATTAAAAGGGGCTGTTCAGTGCTTACAACACTTCTTCCCTGTGGCACCAGAGAGGGTAAATCTTAGCTGCCACTGCCATCGTTGTAATTTGTTGAAATAAGAACAAATAAGAAAACCAATCGGTCTGTCTTGGAGAGGGTGAAACCAAGTTTCTCCTTGGAGGCGAGGATTTTGAAGCTCCATCTCACACACTTTGGGCATGTGGCCAGGAGAGATTGATCCTTGGAGAAGGACATCATGCTCGGAAGGGTGTGGGAATAGTGAGGCCAAATTGGCTTTCCGTTTTGAAGATGTGGTTGCAGAGCAAGATCAGCTGTTCCTCTCTCCCCGGGGCCTGTGTGGGTGTGTTTAAGGGGGTTCACAGGGCCAGAGCCCACACCCCTGATGACATCTGAGGTCTGGCTCTCTCAGAAACCATCAACAGGTGTCTTGGGAAACATGGGGAACAGCTGCCGACCCTTGAGAGGGCGCTTCCTGAAGCCCTCGGAAACCTCCATCTTGATGCGTCACCTGAGCCTGCTGTGGCCTGTGACAGTGTCCCTGGGGAGACCCCAGCCTCGGGCTCCTGCCTCTGGAAGTGCGTGTGCTACGGCCTTGGGAACTTTGCCACCTGCGTCATTGCCAGGAACCAGCTGGCGTTTTTGCTGCTTTTGATGGAGAAGTGCCAGGTGAGTTTGGGGTTTTGTCTTCATTTTCCCCTCTGCCTTGCACACGACGGGCACTCGTACCCCTGGACTGAAACCCGCCGCCCCTTCCTCCTGCAGATCCCCAGGAGTCGCTGCTGCCTCTACGACCCTGTGTTCAGCCAGCTTGAGATTGCAGTTCTTAACGCCCTGGGCATGGCCGTGCTCGGAGAGAACGAGGTCAGCGGGTGGGGGCACCATGACGTGAATCCCCACTAGACAGACTCCGGACCCAGGACCCAGTCCCACATCAGTTTCTTTTGAGATGGCAGACATTTCTTTCCAGAACATTTCTCTCTTCAGTCACTGTAATAGGGGGTCAGGCAGCCAGGTACACATTGGCTTATATTTGTCCAGCAAAAAATAGCACCATACACGTGCCAGGAAACAGAATACAGGGTTTTAATACTGGTGAAAAATCTCGCTTCACAATATATTCTGAGTTGGTATTAACTCCGGGGCCTCTGGTGGTGTAATGGACAGGGAATTACACCGCTAACCCTAAATTGAGTTTGGCCTGGGCTTGGAAATTACAGGATACTCTTTGGTTTCTGTGTGTGTTCTGAAATTGCCCTCTAACTGTTTATTGTAAACTCTGCAAGTTGAGCAGAGCCGAGAAGAGCCTTTCCTCACTGTTGGCAGGTCCTCAGGCCTCCACTCAAATGAGCGTTTCTGGGTTACTGTTCTGGGGTAAGGAGTTGCGCTGACAATCTAGAGGCAGCTGGTTCAAATCCACCAGCTGCTCTAAAGGAGAAAGTTGGGTGGTCTCCTCCTGTGTGAGTTACAGCCTCTGAGAACCCACTGGAGGTTGAGTAGGTTCTGACTTGACAGGATTGAGTGAGAGAGCTCTGTGCTGGGCCAGGGGTGCAAGGGACCAAGATTAATGCGAGCCAGACCCTGCCTTCAGGGAGCCTGCCGTTACAGCGGAGCACATGGCATGTAATCGAGCCGATTAAGTGAGACATCTAGCAGTGGAACAGAATCGTGTCAGATCATGCACTGGGGTGGAGGCAGTTCAGGGGAGAGGCCATGGTGAAGGTTTCCTGGGTTTAAAACTAGATTCTGCAGGTTGACCAGTAATCCAGGGAGTTCTAATGGCCTAGTGGGTAAGGAGTTAGGCTGCCAACCCAAAGGCAAGCAGTTCAAATCCAATCAAGTCAGCTATGAGCTGGTTCCAGCTCAACAATAGGAAGTGACCAGGTGGACAGGGGCAGAATGGTGGGCAGCCGGGAACCAGAACAGGCTGATGCCGGGGGCCGTGGAAGCTGAGCAGAGTAGGAGCGGACCGGCAAAGGGCTTTACTCTGACACAGCGTTTGGATGTAACAGCGGGAGGAGTGTCTCCCGCAGGACACAGAGCACTCACTGGAGGGGCCCTGCAGCGTGAGCCGGAAGCCTGGCGGGCACTGAGCACATCACGTGGGGCAGGCACAGTTCCTGCCCTGACGTGAACCTGGCGGAGACCCTTCCTCACGCCGGAGCGTTGTTGATGACACGTGTTTAATAGTTAAAACCACAGTTCTCGTTTCATTGGTTTATAAATCCTGTAGCATATTCTAGATTTCATGCACACTAACATAAAACCTTGCAAGAATTTGTTCTTGAAAACAATGTATTTGAATTGTGTAAATAAATTTGTTGTTGTTGTT